CGTTTTTGGTGAAGATCAAGTTGCTCCTCTTGGTAAGTTTCTATAACCTGTTTTTATACTAGACATCTACTAGTATTTTCTACATATCTTTTTGTACATAGCTCCGATTTAAGTGATTTAGGACTTTCTGTAAAGGTATTTCATAAATATACAACTCTTGTGAAGGAATAAAAATCTAGTTTTGTTGTTATATACCTGAAAAAGAGTCAGAAAGTACAGGGCAGGTGCTGTCCAGATTTTCAGTTCTTGAAATACTCCATGTACCGCTGTTAGTAAATTTAGCATAACGTTTTGTTCAAAATTGATATGGTGGTGATTCAAGATGTTCTGAAACTGTAAGACATAGATCTACAACTTTTATGAAGACTATAAAGTCTGGTTTGTCCGTATAGATCTTCAAAACTGAGTCACAACTTAGAACAGTGATACTGTCCATAATTTCTGTTTCAAACGTTTTTGGGTAATTTTCACCAATATCATGCTTAGTTGACTTGTTAAATCACTGAACTTATTTAGATATTTGATTATGTATTTAAGGTATATAAACCCTTGAAAAAAAATATCAAAGGAGAAGTGTTTGAGGAAGTGGACAGATTTGGTTTGTTTACGGCGTAGACGATTCGAACGTCCCCAAGTTGTGATTGAACTGTTTTATGGTAAAACACCAAGGTTTGTGTATAAACTTGTACTCTTTTTGCTTGCTGGAAATATGTTGAAATAACCTGATATTTTGTTTTTATTGTCTTCAATTTATATTGTTATATTCGTATTATAATAAGTCTTGTCAGAAATTTGCTAAATCGCCCATTCGTACGGATTGTTTGATCATTTTGCATTCTTGTTGGGACTTTGTCCTTCTTGTGGCAGTGATTTGGTCACTCACTTGGCATGCCTCTTGATTCGGATCTTTTGCCATCTTGACTTTGGATTTGTAGTTCGTCTTGGATTATGGAACTTGTCCGTGTTAAGTACGAACTAGGAAGCCATTTTTAATATGGTTCTTGATTCTCTTGTCTATTGGGTTTTGACCCTACTTGATTTGGGGCTTCGGTCCATCTTGATATTTGATTATGCTTAGTGTGATGGCATGACGTACATATTGGGCGAAAAATGGATAATTGGTATACTTCCTTAAATTGATAGTATACACTTTCTAGACTCTTGAGCATTGTTATTAATATTTGGAAACACTTCAAAGTTTGATATTGGTATGTTTGATATATTTGTTCACTTGTTTTAAATTATGTTAAATTGAGCTAACTATGACTGAAAAGGGGAATTGGAGAATTTAATGACTCCAAGCCTAAAGTTTATACACCACTAAGCTTTATGCTTAGCGATAGTTGTTTTCTATCGTAGGAAATGTTCGGGATGAAATCTGAAGATGTCCAGGGTGAATTGGTCTTTTGGAAGAACTTATGAAGATCACATTTGCATATGCACCTTGGTTTTGCATAGTTTTGGGACGTATACATGATGTACAGGATATACAGAATATATACATATATATATGTCACACTTATGCTATTTGGAGGCTTGTTGGGTTTTAAAGAAAAAAAAAATCTTGTAACTTGAATTTGTAACTTACTTTATTGTATTAGGGTATTTTAATGACTCAGGTCTTGTAATATGCTGAATTTACACTTTGTCTTGTAAATATGTAGAAAAGGAGAAAACTAGTTTCCCTTTCTTTATACCCGATAGTTTAAAATTTATGTATAATACAAACTTGCAGTGATTTTGAATGAGTGTATAAATTTGTTAGAAAGTTGTTTTAAATCTCTTGATTGCTCAAGAAGGGTTATATCACCCTGTGTTAATATTTCGACATTGTATTTTATGTTAAATAAAATTATGGTGTATGTGAAAAGAAAAATATATTGCACTTTGAACCTTTTCGCATGGGCCTATTTCCGCTACTAAATTACTTTGGATATTTTTATTAATATCTCTTTTAATATTTTGTTAGTAGGGAGTTAGATTTGTTTCTTAAGTAGTAGCCTCCCAAAGGGGTTGCTACACTTTCTATGTGAATCAACTACCTCAGGTAGTACCTTGTGAGTGTCGAGGATTTTCTTTTGGTTGTCTAGTATCTCCTTGAGAGTATCCTCTATCGACTGGGGAACCTGTGGGGGTGGAGGTGCCGACTAAGCCTCTACCGTAGTAGTGAGTGCAGACAAATGGGAGGACACACTCTATATCTAGTTGTTTATACTAAGAAGTGTCTGGCTCAGTTGGTGGGTAGTAATAGTATATGCACGGAAGGATGGAATCTCCGGGTCTGCTGAGGTGGATGGACCAGGAGGGATAGCAGTGGAAGTAGAGGCAGGCTCAGCAGGAGTCACTACCACAACTAGCTCTTCAGACTGACCAGTTGGAGCAGTAACTATACCCTTGAAATTCTCGCTTGGGGTTATCATCCCCCTGCATGCTGTACCAGGAAAAAGGGGCACTTCGCTTTGACTTTGATGTCGAAGGGCCTCTTTCCACTTTCAAATCCTGGAAGCACATAGTGGAAAAATGGGGAATGGGTAGCTTCTGTCATGCTCGGCACCCATAATTGTAATAATTCTTGACACCACATTCCCTAGATTTATTGGGTACCCCACCATGATCGACGCCACCAAAACTGCCCGGTGAAGAGGTAGGGAGTTGTCATGTGTCGTAGGGTCCAACCTGCTACATACAATCATCTACCACCCCCATGCTTCGAAATTCAGACTATGTCTCAGAATCTTGACGCCCACAGTCAACCAGTCAGGGGTGGTACCTAGGATTGCCAGGTATTGTTTTAGCCAGGGACGGACCTCCTCGCCCATTTCCATCTTTGCCATGTAAAGGGTCTCATCCTCCTCATTGAAGCTAAGGTAACCGTTTATTGTCTTCCTGTCAAACAGCACTTTCAGGTTTCGAACCTTGGTCACCTTGGAGCCCTTTTTGATGTGGGCAACGCTGATGTGGAATTCCTTAACCAAGTGTTCATTAACATCCACATAATAATCTAGAAAATGTTCCCAACCTACTCTTGTCCTAAACTGCCTCCTCACATTGGGGTTATGAGGTAGCAAGTCTCTATCCACAAAACTCCTCTCCGGGATCAACTTCCTCACCGATCTTGCCACGCCTCTGGTTTCCTAGTTCTATCTACCCCGCCAACCTGAGATTCACCACCTTCTCCAACTACTTCTTCTCCTCCTACTTCCTCCTCATCTCCTACTGCACCCTCTCTGGATAATGAAGCTGTGGAAGAGGTGGAGTATTCATCCCCACTACCTGCTTCTGAGCCCTCACACAACCCAGAAGATACATTCACTAACGCTTGGACATTGGGGGATGCTGGAGGTATGTCTCTTAGTTTTTTCCTCTCCGGCCAGTCAGGGATGTATTCTGGCACGGAGTCTGAAAATATTTCCTGAAAGGGCTCGTACTCACTCCCCGACATGCTAATGGCTCTATCAACTGCTTTTATCATCTTCTTCATGTTTTTGATGTTTTGCTAGCTTGGGGAGTAAGTTTAATCATTTTCTGTTTCCATCCCCAGGAGGATCCTCCTCTGCCCAGTTGTTTAGATCCTTTACCTCGTGGTTTCACCATTGTCTGCAAACACAATCCAAATGAACTTTTTAGTATCAGTTGCAACAGTTAAGAACAGAGTTGCAGAATCAGAAAGGAAAAATTACAGATAGGTTGCAGGAGTCACCCAGTGCGGACCGCACAAAATGGTGTGCGACCGCACAGGGGCCACTACGGACCACACAAAATGTCCATGTGGAACGCACAGAGGTGGGGTTCAGACTACCCACTCTCTATATCCAGGCAGTGCGGCCGCATAAAGGGTAATGCAGTCCGCACAAAATGTAGTGCGGTCGCATTCCTTGGGGTTCAGTTTTCATAACAATAAGCAGTGCAGTCCGCACAAAATTGTAATGCAGATCGCACAGGAGCACCGCGGACCGCACAAAAACGACCGCAGTCCACATTGAGTGCCCAGTTGTGCACTAAATTAGGGTTGATGGATTATTGATTTTAAGCTTAATTAACACCTGAGTCCTATCCCAACGCGATTTCCCATTGTTTTTAACTACATGAACCTACTCTAATCAAGAAATTAACAACCCTAATCTAATCAATTGAGGAAAATACGGGAAACATAGAAAAGGAAGTAGGAAAAACAAAAATTAAAAGAAATTAACAAAATTGAACAAGTAAAAGGGATCTAATGGTACCAGCTATGAGATGAAATGAAGAATAACGATTCCAAGCAGTTAGTTACAAGGAGAAAAGATGATGAACAATGCTTCTATTAGTTTTAAGAGTCAGGGTTTGAAAAGGGTAAAAGGAGGGCCTCAGGCCCTATTTATTGAAAAGGACCTGAGGCCTAGTCTCACCAACTAGTGCGGACTGCACAAAATGGACCGCGGTTTGCACAACACAACTATTTTCAAGCTTGAGGAGGCAACAGACTGTGGTCCGCACAAAATAAACTGCGGCCGTAGTGGTCCACTGTGGACCGTACAAAATGTAGTGCGGCCATAGTGGCAAACTTCAGAGAGGTTTACATTTCACCCTTACCAGTGCACCAACACAATCCTGTAATATCTCACAACCAGTTAGCCCAAAAATCAATCCTACTCTACGCAGGTCGCGGCACGACGCAGGTTACCATCACATCATTTGAAATGAAGAAGCGCCACCACGTCGTTGTCATCAATTTTTCCCAAGTAATGCTTGACCCGGTGCCCATTAACTCTTAAAACTTCACCATTTTTGGTCTTTAAATCAAGAGCGCCAAACGGGGTCACACACACCACTTCAAAAGGTACACTCCATTTTGACTTGAGCTTTCCCGGAAACAGACGTAACCGGGAGTTGAACAAGAGAACCAAATCATCTACTTTGAACTCCTTTCCACGAGCATATTTATCATGAAGGTACTTCATCTTGTCCTTGTACAAGGACGAACTGGAGTAGGCATAGAATCTGAATTCATCAAGTTCATTGAGCTGCTCCACACGAAGAGTGGCTGCAACATCCCACTCAAGATTTAGCTTCCTCAAAGCCCATATGGCCTTGTGCTCTAACTCAACCGGTAGATGGCAAGCTTTCCCAAACACCAACCAGTACGGAGACATACCAATCGGAGTGTTGTAAGCAGTCCTATAAGCCCATAGAGCGTCATCCAACTTCTTTGGCCAAGCGGTCCTATTTGCATTGACCTTCTTTGACAATATGCTTTTGATTTCCCTGTTAGAGACTTCAACTTGACCACTTGCTTGAGGATGATAGGGAGTAAAAACTTTGTGATTGACACCATACTTTGAAAGCAAAGTGTCGAAAGCTCTATTGCAAAAATGAGACCCCCCATCACTTATGATTGCCCGATGAGTACCAAACCTTGTAAAATTCTCTTCTTGAGAAATGCAACAACACTCCAGGCCTCATTGTTGGGAAAAGCTACGGCTTCAACCCACTTGGAAACATAGTCAACCCCTACAAGAATATACGTGTTCCCAAAAGAGCTAACAAATGGGGCTATGAAATCAATGCCCTACACATAAAAAATATCAACTTCAAGGATGGTATTGAGAGGCATCTCATCTTTCTTCGAAATTTTGTCCGCTCTTTGGCATTCGTCGCATCTCTTCACCAAATCACCCGTATCTTTGAACAAACTTGGCCAATAAAACCCACAACTAAGAACTTTAGAAGCCTTCCTCACCCCGCCATGATGTCCACCATAGGGAGAGGAATGACAAGCCTCCAAGATACTCAATTACTCCTCCTCCGGGATACACCATCAGATCACACCATCCGTGAAAATCTTGAACAAGTACGATTCATACCAATAGAAGTCCAAACTATCCCGCTTGAGCTTCTTCCTTTGGTTAGAAGAGAGCTCACATGGGATTATACCGGTCACAAGGAAATTAGCAACATCGAAAAACCATGGCATATCATTCATCGACATCGAAAGGAGTTGTTCGTCAGGAAATGAATCATTGATCTCTAGGCCATCACGAGGCCTCCCCTCCTCCTCCAAGCGGGACAAGTGGTCCGCCACCTGGTTATCACTACCCTTCCGGTCCATAATCTCTAAATCAAAATATTGAAGTAACAAAACCGACCGCATCAGTCTAGCTTTGGAGTCCTTCTTCATCATCAAGTACCGAAGTGCGGCATGGTCGGTATGAATAATAACCTTAGCACCTTTAAGCTACGTCCGGAATTTTTCCATAACTAACACAATAGCCAGAAGTTCTTTCTCGGTCACCGTGTAGTTCACTTGAGCATCATTCATTGTCTTGCTCGCATAGTATACTGGATGAAATATTTTGTTCACTCTTTGATCCAAAACCACCCCAACCGCAACATCGCTTGCATCACACATGAGCTCAAAGGTAAAGCTCCAATTAGGCGTGGTAATGATAGGAGCGGTGGTCAACTTATGCTTGAGAAGTTCAAAGGCTTGCATACACTTTTCATCAAACACGAACTTAGCATCTTTTTCCAACAACTTGCACAAAGGATTCACTACCTTCGAAAAGTCTTTGATAAATCTCTGGTAGAACCCCGCATGCCTAAGAAAACTTCGGACAACCTTGACGGATGTAGGGGGAGGGAGCCTTGAAATCACCTCAATCTTTCTTTTATCCACCTCAATGTCATGCTTCGAAATTTTATGCCCAATAACTATTCCTTCTTCCACCATAAAGTGGCATTTCTCCCAATTGAGGAAAAGATTGGTTTCTTCACAACGAGCCAACACCCTATCAAGATTT